TAAACTTCTTTCTGTAATAGGCTATGATTTTGAGACTTACAAGGTGCTGTGTTTGAAATTCCATCATTCTAAAGGTTAAGGCACAAATGTTATTTTGCAAATGGATATACTGGAAATGGCACACATCAATTAACCTGGTTTAAATTGTGAGAAATTGGAAGCAATCATCATTTCGCTTCCTCTATTCTAAGCGATTAATCCGAATTCATGAGAGGATGGAAAAACTCTTAATTACTTAGCTTGGAAAGGGGACGAAAAGAAAGGTCCCAACAGGAGTTTTCTGAGATATGGGAGTTTTAGAAATAGGTATTACAGATTTAGAAACTACCAGCACTCTCCTTTTTGTATTTTGTATAACATGAAAATATGCAATGCTCAATAAATATTTGGGTATTTCAGGAGAAAGGAACCCACTAGTCTATTCAGCTGTTACAAAGAATTGTGAAAGCAAATATGTAACCCAATTTCTTCAAAATCATCATCATCACCATGTGGATATGTTAGTCTATTGTCAGGATAGGATATAGAAGGATATCAATCTCTTAGCTTGGAAAGCAGTGTGCGTTCCTTATGTTAGCGAAAGGCAGCACTGCAGAGAAGTGGAGCACAGCAACTTTCAGGAATATTCAGACAAAAATGTAACTTGTACTGCCATGCAGGAGGCCTCCCCAGTAAGAAACCATACTGTGAAAAAAATTCCCAAGGTCCCTGACATTCTTGAATAGTGTCACAATCACGAGCACCAGGGTCAGAGCCTAAATCTATATGGAGGGAGCTATTTCTCCATGGGAAACAGACTCCTTCCAGCCATTTCAGGTCACATTTAGTAAATCATGCCCAAAAAAAAAAAAAAAAGCATATAGGAGACAGAAGTTCCTATTGCATTTGTTTGTTTGTTCAATTTATATAGCCTCCCATCACACATATGTGACTCTGGGTGGCTTACAACAGTTAAAAACAACATCAAGCACAATAAATAAAATACAAATAAAACCAACAAACACAAAATCTTACTAAAAACCGTTACTAAAAACAATATTAAAAACACAAACATATTCAGTGGCAGAGTACAATCCATTCTTCACATTCATGCCTCTCCTGCTGGACCTAATGGGACAGGAAGATGTAACCAGAGAGAGGCGGTCCCTCAAATAACCCAGTCCCATGCCATGTAGGGCTTTATAGGTCATGCTCTTCAAGGGCAGCCCCATGTAGAGCGCATTACAGTAATCCATTTGAGAGGTGACCAGGACATGAGTGACTGAGAGCAGAGCCTCCTGGTCCAGGAACAGGCGCAACTGGCACACAACACAAAGTTGCACAATGGCCCTCCTGGCCATGGCTGCCACCTGCTCTTCAAGCAGGAGTCATAAGTCCAGGAGGACCCTCCAGAACAAGAAGTGGTAAGTCCCTGAAACCAGAAGACCCCCAAACCTACTCAATCTTGCTAGGATTGAGCTGAAGCCTGTTGTTCTCCATCCAAACCCCTCCATCCAAACCCCCTACAGACCTCCAGGACAGAATATTAACAGGATTGCTTAGTTTGCCAGATTTTGCTTTCCGAATGCTATGAAAATACCAGATGCCTTGAAGCCTTGGTACAGGCCAGGCCTAGAGAGACTATAAAATTAAACTTGAGAGTGGGTTACTCTCAATAGTGCTGAAAACTATTCCACCTCAAGTTAAGCTTGTGACTAAATGCATGGCTTCAACATCAACACCATTTTTCCTCTCCTCAACCACGAAGGGTGGAAACTACAAGAATCAGATGCAGAAAAACTTTCATTCACACTGCATGCAATAGAACGATGAATGCTAAAGATCACACTCAAAGATGAATCAGAAATGAGGAAATTCAGCAATGGACTAACTTTAAAGATGTCATAAAAATGATAGTAAAATGGAAATATAAATGGGCAGAGCACATTGTACATTTACCTGACAATACTTGGACATAAAAATTGATACGGTGGTGCCCCTACAATTAGACATGCTGGCTCAGAAAACCTCCTACAAGATGGAGAGATGGACTACAAAAAGATCTTGGCCCCATCCAGAACACCATAGCAAAAGACTGAATGAAATGCAAGTATTTGCTGAAGTTGTCACTTTGGATATCAGCACTATCTGGATGAATAGGATGATGAAGTAATAAGTGAAGTGACCTTTTTCTGTCCTAGTCTGATGAAAACTGTTGAAGAAGCTGTTTGCACACTAGTTTATAATCTTTAATTTGGCATAATAAAAATATTGCCCTAATACAAATTTTGAATGTATGATGGTAGCCTAATTACTGAGGGGTTTTGAAAAAAGACTCATCTCTACAGAAAAAGAGTACAGGAGCCATGCTCCATGATGTCACCCACCCCCAGATATCCACATGTACAGCCATACCTCTATACAAAAAAAAATGTCATGCATACAACAGTATATGCATATGGTTCATTCTTGCTAGTATGGTAACAGCTGCACATACAGCTGCATGTATAAGTGCTTCCCCTCCAGAGACTTGGTGCAGTTTGCCTCAAGGAGAGGATATTGCAGAATTGAAAACAGGGTGCCATCCCTCATTGTTGTACATGCTTTGCAGTGAACTCTTTTTCTGCTGTGCCTTGAATTCAGTATATTCTTAACTGCAATATATTCTTAACTGCTGACATGAGACTCATCAAGTTTCATGATAGTGCTTGTTGCCTGTGACTTTATGGGGTCAAACCTGAACTGGGATGAGAATCATCTTCACTCATGTTGCCCTCAGCCACTCAAGGTCACTGTGTACTCTCGCTTGAGCTGTGAGAGCCAATTAAACTAGTAGTAGCACTTTATTTCTCCATTCTATCAAGGTACCCCAACTTGGCTGGAAACCCTGATCGGTCTATCTGAAAGCTTAATCCTTTAACTATAGATGCTGGTCTCTTTTTACCCTTCTGAGATACCCTTAAGATTTTTGAAGCTGAACTTAAGTATGTCATTAACAAAATTGAAGTGTTCCCATACTATCTTCTTTTTGAAGTTCAGTGGGACCCATCTGTCTGGACATTCCCTCTCATCCCAGAGAATGCAAGGAGGTTGTCAGCATACGCCTCGTGCAAAGGGTATTCAGATGATTTTATAAGCGTTGTTACAGAAAATGATACCAAGCAGCTATTTTAGGTGTCAGCTTTAAAGCTAATGGGAAGCCACTAAGCTCATGCATGGGACAGGTACATAAATCAGTCCAATAAAACAGCTTTGTAAATATTTATGTTCTCGGTACTCTCCACTGCATGCTTGCTTCCTTTACCTTCACCTCTTAAATTTCCTGTCTTTAGATTATGCCTAGGACTGGGTCTGGTTATCTGCCTGACATTGCTTAATTAGTTACTACTTCCTCTGTATCGTTTACCTTAATCCTAAATCTTTACAGGCTCTTAAGTATCTTGGATGCAATTTTTGAACAGTTCTCTGTAGGACTGTTGTGGGAGGACTCTGCCTGATCAATTTCCCGCTGGAGCTAATGGCCAGGCAGCCTGCCAAAAGGCCAGTTGGCACTGTTGGCAAAAGAGCCCAGGAAGTCAACTTTCTTCTTTTCTTTACGTTCCTGACACCAGTTGCTGTTAGTGCAAGTGGCTTTATGCTCAGTAGCCCGGGTTGGCAGCCATCCTCGTTTCTCTGAGGCATGGGGATAGCGGCCTTTATGGGGACAGGATTTTTGAATGGGGGTCTGGCAGACTCTAAACAAAGAGAAGACCATTTTGGGAACGGTGGCACCAGGTCTGATTTTGAATTATTTGTATGCACACTTCTCACCTGTGAAAAAGTTGGCAAACTGTGCTTTGCTTTGCTTGCTTGTTCAGAATTTCATCTGCCTAAAAACATCTGTTTCTGCCAGAAAATAATAGATAAAAAGGCACATTGGACATGATTACTGCTATTTGTAGGTGTAGTCATCATGTTTCCAACAGTGTTCAGGAATCCGAACAGCACCACTGTTTTTATTGTATTCATACTACATATAGAAGGCTAAAAACTGGTTGCTTGCTGGAAGCCAGTTCTGAATTCACACCTGAGGAAAGAAGAGAGACTTTCTAGCCCACATCCATCCTTTCTGCTACAACAGCTTTCCTCGATCAATTTGCTTGGGTTTGCTGATGGTTTCCACTAGGGATGGGCAAGCCTGTGATTAATGATTTCTTGTGTGTGTTTCTCTGTGTGCATGTTCTGCTTTTAAAGGGCAAAATCAGTGCCGTCACCATAATGATGAAGGGTTTTTCCCCTTAATCTCCACCCCACCCCCACCCCCATCCCAAATTGGCTAAACATTTCAGTCCCACCCATCCCACAGATACCATCCCATTGCAGCCAGATTCGCTACATTTTTCAGCTGGGAAGTCCAATTATTGATTTATTTTAACCACAAACATTATTCCCCTCCCTGACTGAAAGCATCTTTCCTGGCGCATCCCACCTCTCAGCCTGCCATTGCCATAATTCCCAGCAATCATGTCTGGAAGATGCCAGACTAGGAAAGTCTGGCTTAGATAGGGCAAACGAATTTCCCCTCAGCCATTACATATGCAATTTTATGGGTCAGATGTTGAGAAATGTAAGTCCCCAATAACTCAAAGAATCAGAGCTTGGGCAGCTTCTGGGAAAATGAAGGCTCAGATTCTACACTGAAAAATCCCTAGTGAAAATGGCTTTGCCCCCATGTTAGTAAGACCGCAGACTTCTTTGTTGGCTATTGTACTGTCTCAGGGAGGTGTGGGAATTAATCCTACCCTTGTCACTTCCTAACAGGATCATGTAAGAGCTGTTCTACACAGACTGAAAATAATACTTTGTTAATACTCCTCAGTATTTCACACTCCTCGACAGTGGCTAATTTTCGTCTAATACCTCATTAAAATTCACAGTGGCTTTGTAGTCCCACTCTAATACAGTAGCTCTCCACTGATGCAGAAATGGCAAAGGTGAGAACTGACGCAGGGGATGTGATTTTCCTCCTGCCCTTCTTTCAGGTTTTATTATTCCGGCTTCCATCCTTTGAGGGCTATCCAGATGATGAGAGTGGGCAAGTTGCAGTACAGCCAGGACATGTTCTCCCAGGCTCTTGAAACCCTGAAACAGGTCAGTATTGCTCACTGTGCTACATTCCCTTCCCTTGCTTCCTAATTGTTTCTCCTCGGCTGCATTTCCACGACCTCCCTGCTCTCCCACTTTTTTGAATCTACACCAGCCCCATAGGCAAAGGCTACAAAGCGAGCTGCTTACGGTTTCCAGAGGAGACTTACTTTAATAGCAGTGGTTGGTAATTACTGTTCAGTATCGGGGGGGGGGAATCATTAATCACCCCAAACCTTGAATGGCAAATAGCTATTAAATTGGATGAATGAGAGATTATTTCAGTACCTTAATCTGCTTCTCCTTTTTAAATACTGATCATGTCCTGTATCCCACTGAAGGGGAAGGCAAGGTAAGTAGTAGTGGAAATGCTTCCTTTGATCATAAACTAGTAAGAATTCTGAAATGCACCTGAAATATTTGTGCCGGGTTGCTGATGAAAAAATTAAGAGGAGAATCCAAATATGTCGTGGGCGCATTTAAGTCAGCGATGACCACTATGAAGAGTGTGCATTGTTAAAAGATCTGATCAGAGGATGTCTTTCCATGTTATGAATCATTTCTAAGCCAGTTCAGAATAGCAATACATTTAATTGCATAACCTGCTGATCATTATGAAAAGGAAATACACTAGTAACTAATACAGTACATGTTTTCCAATGGTGAGTATTTATTTTGTTAACAATCTATTCAGCTTTATTGTAATTGGTAAATGCCTAACATTAAATTCTGTAAAAGCTCTTAAATAAAATAACTTCCTGTGGAATAATAAGTTACCATAGGTAAAACCATTAGCTTTAAAACACATTTGGGGAGGGGAAAAAAAGACTTTAGTTATGTAGCATAAATACATGTTTGTTGCACATGAATGGTGTCCTAGATCTGTAAGTTCATTGCATGCAGACTTGAACCTGTTTCAGCTGGCTGCTCCTTATTTGGAGTTTCTTATGAATTTGTGATAGATTTATAAACTGCACAGGACCTGCTGGAAATGTCACTGTATATATAAAAGATACTTGCTGGAGTTACATAGCATTGTGACAGCTGCCTTATGTAATTCACCAACTGATTCTTTGTAAAGTTTTACATGTTTTAGTTTCAGTTTCTTGTTTAAGGATTTAAAACAAAGTTTCTCAAATTCAACTAAACTAGTGTAACGCTATATCTGAGACTGAACTCCAGTTGTTATCCGATCTTGTGATCTTCGTTTATTTGTTATGCTTCTGTCCTTTCTCTCACTGAGCTTAAGATGATGCGTTCCAGGTGGTCTCATGCCAGGCTCTAGCTTGACACGCTCAGGTTCACTAAGATACTTGTAGGATGTACCTTCAAATCATCCTTAGGCATGGTGTTTGTGCATGCATCTCTGTGTGTATTGCATGCCATTTCTATCCATTACAAATAATCATTTATGTATTACCTGCATAAAGTCATACATCTCATGTATGTATTTATGTGTGTGTACATGCACACACATACACACACATGTACACATGAAATACACTTCTTTATTTGAAGTAAGAGCCAGTGTAGTGTAGTGGTTAAGATGCTAGACTAGTAATGCGAAGACCCAAGTTCTAATCCTCCCTTGGGCATAGAAGCCAGTTGGGTGACTTTGGGCTACTCACTCTTTCTCAGCCTTAGACTGGAAAGTCCAAAAAATCTGTCTGCCAATCTGCACTGGACCAGTATTACAGTCCATAATCTTCAGTGAAGATGCTTTCATACTTCGGTGAATTGACTCAGGATAGTAGTAGTAGTAATAACAATAATAATAATCTTGAAAGCTGATTTTGAGGTGCTAATATCTGTGATAAACTGCTGTAATTAAAAAGTTTTTGGTTAATTTCATGTTATTTCATAACCGTTATTTCTTTCAGATTAAATTGATTTTGACATTTAGTAGCTTCATTTGGTAGAATTGTTGAATTCCTAGGTCTGACATGGTATTACTGATGAGTGATCTCCATTTCACTGCATCCCTGGAAGATATCCATCCATGTCAATGTTGCAATCTAGTTTTGACTATAATTAGACAAATAGATTCCTAGCATACCTTCTGGAGATTGAACTATTTTCTTACCTTGGTTTTATCTTCATAAGCCCTATCACTGAACTGTACCCTCCAAAGATTCCTACAATTAAAGGTATTTTAATTGTAATTTTTATTATTGTTGTTATTGTTCCTGCATGTCTAAAATCTCTAGGAAAAAGGGGGGAATTAATGTTAATTAATTAAAGTTGTATCCTAGAATGCTCCCAAACCCATGTGTTGGGCTTGACAAAAGCTTTTAGAAGCACTGTGCAAAAGATCCTAGGAAGCGCATCGTGGAGTATTGGTTTATTTCTAGTGAAATATTTCTGTCCATCATTTCAGCCCTCTTTGAGACAGCCCAGATATCTCATAATCACAGATGACAACAAAGTTCTGTATAAGCAATAAACATTTTAAAAAACAACTAGCTAAAATGAATGCCATATATTTATTACAAAAGTAATTATCTCAGCAATTCTAAACATGTTCTGCTTCTTTTCTCCTGCTGTTTCAGCCTGCCTTAGCACTTGTATTCCCCTGCATGCCAGTGCCAGGAGAAAGGAGGAAGAGGAAGACCTCCCCCCATTTCATCCCCAGGAACTTCAAAAGATTATTTCGGTGATCCGAAATAGACAAGGGAGAGATTTCATGTTTTGATACTCCACCTTGTAAAACCCTAAGAAAAACCCTCTGCAAAGTGTACAGAGAAAGTGAGGAAATCAGGAACAAGTCTAGTCTCCAAGAATTTCATATCACACAACATGCCAAGGTTATTATAAATGACTGCAGATCTATAAGAATGCAGTAAGTCCTCCACTGAAGCATTAAGCTCTTACCTCAAAGCATGTATATTCCATCTACAGTATATTAGTTCCCTGATCAGAAAAATACAAAGGGCCCTAACCCCAAACATTTCTGCTCCAGAAGGATAGGCAGCTCTTTCTAAATGATTCCATCTGACCTGGTTCTTTCCAGCTTGCCCTGTGCATTATGTACTGCATGTGTGATGAAAATAAAATGAGTGTGGCATTCCAGGCGTTCGTCCCTCCTTTGCATCTCTAAGAAGCCGTCATGTTAATCTGAGGGATAAAGGAGAAACCGAAACAATTTCCTCAATATCCTGGCCTTTGCTTTGTAGCCCATTAGCATGATGGAGTTTGCTTCCTCCTTTCATCCTGACCGAGCTGCACCGAGGCGTATTTGCATACCACTACATGTGTCTCTGATGTTAGGTATCCTGTCCAAGCCGAATGCAAATTAGACATAAATGAATGTGCTGGGCTTTTACTTGCTGTTAGAAGCACTTCCATATCAATTACCTAATGAGTTTTATATTCTTGGGGAGAGAAGCAGTGTGGTTTATGATACCATGCTGAGTATCCTATTTGTTTGCTCACGGTAGCGTTTCACGGTCAACCTCTTTCCTTATTCGGCCCCCTTGGTTCTACAGAGCTCAACAGTAACTGAACCTTTTGCAGATCATGGAGGAAAACAAAGCCAGGGCCAGTTCTGTAATGCTCCTGTTATACTACTAGGCCGAATCCCACTGAAAGGTGCGCATATGTTTTCTGTTTAACCTAAACACTCATCCCAAACCACATGGCATATTAAAATGTATAGAGGCCAAGCAAGCAAATTCCATAGCAGTGTGGATATAATGGCAGAAAAGAGGTTGCGTCGTGATGGGATATATGAAGAGGCAAGCTGAAGTGACTTGTGATCTAACAAAGTTGCAAATCGTTTTTTTTAAAATAGAAGATTCCAGATAGAGACATTCAGAGGCATACCATCAAGGATAACGGAATGCTTTTTTCCTGTATTCTGTATTTCAGGCTCATGATATTATGAAAGTGACTCACGGGACAGAGCATAGCCTCATGCAGGACTTGATGATGCTTAAAGAAGACTGTGAGGCTGGCATGCCATTCAAATAAGGTGACCTGCAAGACACAACTTAGCCGAAGGAGAACAGAGAGAAGACCCTGAAGAAAATAAATATCTTCCTTGACTAGACATATGGCAGTAAAATTGCCATATGTATTGAGTGGATTTCCATTGATCTGAGTACTGCTAGGAAAAATGGTCTAGTTGTTTTATTGTGTAATCTCTGCATTATTACTTCTGCTAATTCTCCAAGTGATATTTCTTAACAGTTAGTAATTCCAGCAGAAGCTGCTTCCTGCTGAGCAGTGGGTTGAAAAGACGTCAGGAAAATTCCAAGTTACAATTTGTTTATAATTGAAAACATAGAAAATACTAATTCATGTAAGTGCATTATTAGATGGGTATAAATTAAAACTCGTACATTCAAATACCTTTTAACATTGCAAGTACTTGAATTCAGTTTCCTCAGTGTCCTTTCGTCCTACCCTAAATTGCCACCTCCTCTTGGAGGTGTTGTCATTTCCAGGTATGCAATTATTTTTTGCATAGCATGCTTATTATTAGATTATTAAACATGGAAACTCCAGATACAATTGAGATGCAAACTTCTAACAGTGTCATTTGTTAGCTGTTCGGAGTGATTCTGCCCTGAGTGATGTATAAGCATCAGAAAGGAAAGTAGAAAGACAGATCAGCAGAATAAATTTATTACTGAATCATCTGTGTTGTTCCTATCTAGTAATACTGCAGCAAAGTTTTGCCTCCAGTTGATACAAAAGTTCTCAGAATAAGGTCAATCAGCCTGCAAAAACTACAGTTCTTGGTATGTTTCCTACTGAAGGCATTCCATTAAATGGGGAAGTTCTTACTTCTGAGTAAATATACCTATAATTGTGCAGTTAATTTGTCATTCTAATACTAAGTGCTCAGTTTTGCATTATTGCCCAATAAAGCCATTTTTAAATTTGTTTATTTTGGGAAAACTAGGCCAGTTCTTACCAGATACAAGAAATTACCTACATAATTCCCATTCTGAGCAATGTTCTGTCTAGATCTGACCTGAAGCAAATCTCCAGGAAAGCAGAGATACTTATAATAGAGTTCCTTGGATTGAATAATCCTGTGACTAAACTTGACACTGTACATGACTAGAAACAATCTTAGATTCCCAAGAATCTGCAACTCATCCTGGAAACTGCAGTATAAATGCATGTTCTGAAAGCAGGACACTGCTTGCTTTCAACAAGAACATTGCTATGTACTTTCTTCCTCCCCCCCTTCCTCCTCCCCTCCATTTTCTCACTGTAAAATGCACACTTCAAACCTGCCAGACTAAAAGATCATTTAAGTTTCTGTCCTCTGAAAGGAAAGCTGTAGCTCATTAGTCAAAGACATGCTTTGCATGCGGGAGTTCCTAGGTTCAATTCCTGGCATTTCCAAGAGGATCAGGAAAAAGTCTTGCCAGAAACCCTGGAGAGATTGTCAGCGTTGATGTTGCTAGGCAAGATGGGTCAAGAGTCTCACTCCATATCACACTGTTCCAAAGTTCCCAACAATCAACTCTTGGAAGGGTTAGAACTTGTCACAGAGAGAGATTTTTGGGGCCACTGCCCTTAATTTTTAATTCTTAAATGTCATGTCCATTCACATCAATAACTTGAAACCATTTATTATAATACAATGAAAACACATTTCGGAGGAAATTAGCACTCTGGGCATAATTTAGAACCACAGTTCACAAATGCCAAGAAGGCATCTGCCTGAGTGGTTCCCAAATGTTATCTCATTCTGGACTTAAAAAATGCTTCAGCCCCTTTGCCTAGGTAACGGTTCCTGCATACCTCCGTCAAGGTCATCTTCCTTATTCTCTGAACCTCCAGAGATTGGCATCAGGAGAAGGGGGCAGATCTATAATGGGACATTGCCTTGCATTTGTGAAACGCTGGGATCCCTCAAGCAGTTCAGAAGTTTCCTTGAAGACAGCTGTTAATCCACAAAACATAAAAATCAGGCGGTGTCTAGTAGCACCTTTTCAGACTAACCAATTCGATTAAAAGGCATAAGCTTTTGCGAACTGCTGCTCGCCAGATGCATGGAGTGATACAGGATTTAAATTGAGGTGGGGGGTTATTAGTTTGAAAAGATGCTATCAGACTCCTCATTTAATACGGCTCTCCTCTTACGATGTCTAAAATGGAGCAAAGTAAATGAGACACCCTCCTCTCCCATTGGTTCTGACTAAGTAACATGGACTGAACTGCGGGACTGGCCTTCGTAGGCTGTCAGCTTATTTCTCGTATGGAGGTCATCCAAGCCTCACGCCTTTTGTATTACTTTCCATTGATTATGTTTTTTGTGTTTCTCTCAGCAGGAGCAGTAAATGGAAAGGGCATTTATTTTTATTTGAGAGTTATTTGTTGGACAGATTAATTTCTGGAGGGTAAGTGCTTCAGAGCTGTGGAGTAGATGTGATTTATACTTTTCACCCATTACTGGTGGTGGGTGCAGGGAAAACAAAAAATGGGGTTTCATAGTTCAGTGAGAGTTAAACAAATGAGGGTGAATCAATTCAAGGAGACACAAAGGGCTTCTGCTTAAGTCAAGATCCAGATAGGGTGCAAAATATCTGAAGATTTTCTCCAGTCTAAGTAAGTTGCAGTTAGTCTATTTAAAAACATTAAAAAGAAGAAAGGATCAGCTCATGATCCTTTACATGAATTTTATATGTGGAAAAAAGCTATTTATACACAGAACTCCCTCTCAGTTGATATGCACCCTCAGGCCAACCACAATTAATGTATTTGAAGTTCCAGTGGCTTTTTAGGGAATTTATTTAGGGACATACTTAATTTTTCAAATGACACCATTGAGAATTTGGCTGGATTCTATTCCTACATACTGTATATACAAGCCTGCATGCAAGTATACATACATACACTACAGTTATGCCCAGCACAGCACCCAAGGAGCAAAGGAGGGTCCAGCAGACTCCAATTCTGCCTCCATCGTGGTTTGGCACTGATTGAGGTAACATCCTGTACTTTTGTAATGACTGAAACTTATGCGTGTCCCTACCCATCTACCCTCCAGGGGGACATGAGCTTTCAAATTGCATTCTTCGATTCTGGGGGAGTGGATTTTAGGTGGATCTAGGAAGGATGCCTGCCATTCTGCGTAACTATCTGACGTGAGACCTGTTTGCTTGCTTGTGTTACAGGATTTGGGTACCACCTTAATCATGAGATTGCTGGGCAATGCATAGTAAGCAAAAATAGAGAAAGGACACACACACACACACACACACACACACAAATAAAATACTATTTAACATAAAAAACTGATGACACAACTATCATTTGAATATAAGACCAGAAGGTTGTGAAATCATGTCTTGCTCAGACTTCACAGAATCATATGTCTGCCCACACCTGGAACAGGTTTCTAGATCCTTTGTACAAATGATATACGTCACCATTTTAAACTAGCTGAAAGATCTGCTTATACTTAACATGATAACTTTTTTCCTGATCACACAGAAGCTTTACAGACACACCATTTTTGTTGTATTTCATCTGACAGCTTCTTTCACATTCATGTCAGGCTGATAACGGTGGGAACCGAGGGAGTCAAAAGTCAAAATAATTGATTTGTTGGAAGATTGGAGAGTGGCGGTAAGGCTCTGATATTGCTTTTCAGCAATAGCATCACCTAAAAATATTTTCTGACTTGGTCATATGATGTTATTCTCTTGCCTTCTTTGCCCATTCAGTGCTTCCTGGTCATGTCCACAGTAGATCTTTGCTCATATAGAAGACCAGATTCGTTAACTCAGTGACTGTTGTATTGTCGAAGGCTTTCATGGCCGGCATACGATGGCTGGTGTGGGTCTTCCGGGCTGTGTGGCCATGTTCTGGAAGTTTTGTTTCCTAACGTTTCGCCAGCACCTGTGACCAGCATCTTCAGAGTGCAGGAGCACAGACAGGAGCAATTCAATAGAAGAAAAAACCCTGCCTAATCAATTCAATAGAAGAAAAAACCCTGCCTAATCAATTCAATAGAAGAAAAAACCCTGCCTAATCAATTCAATAGAAGAAAAAACCCTGCCTAATCAGAGAACTGCTCCTGTCTGTGCTCCTGCACTCTGAAGATGCTGGTCACAGGTGCTGGCGAAACGTTAGGAAACAAAACTTCCAGAACATGGCCACACAGCCCGGAAGACCCACACCAGCCATCAGTGACTGCTGCTGCTTTATTTTTTCTTGAAATGAAAAAATGAGGAACAGCCCAAGGTATCGGGAGTCCACATGAATGCAACTGAAATAAAGCATGGCACAGATATTTGACAGTTCAGGGACGTTGTTGTTTTCAGTGACAATGAATTAATTTCAGTGCACTCATTCACTCTTATACTCATTGAGCAAGATCCAAAGTGTTATCCAAGGTGTTTGAGATAAAAATGCTTGTAGCATTTCCTTTCTGATGGCAGTCACCTTCAAACAACCTTTCCAGTGTATGAAGACTGCCAGGACAGGCCACTGAGGAGTCTATTGTCAAAAAGAGAATCAGCTGCCTTGTGTAATGATGCAAATGCTTTGCAAACATGCTTAGTTTTCTTGGCACCCCAACATTCTCTGTTCAATTGGTTGTTCAATCCAGTTGTTCCTTAACTGTAGACAAATTGATCCTTTCTTTTGGGAGTACCTGATATTTAGGTTCTGTTTCAGATCCTGTTGTGAACCCCATGATGCTCTGTGTTAGCTAGAACCTTTTCAGTCTGCACCTACAGTGAATGTCTGGAGACCAGTTTAGATTAGCCTGCCTGTCAAAGCTCACTAAATAATCATGGTTTCAGCAGCTGGATTTGCTGAAGCAGCATATATGATATTCTACAGACCTACATTCTTTACAGCTCCTTTTCACAAATGCTAACTCAAGGTACTGAGAAAAGTCATTTCTGTGCCAATTTCCAGTAGTTGTAAGAAAAATTGTTAATGGCAAACTCTAGAATTACTGGAGGGTGAATGGTTTTATGCTTTCAACTACTATTTGGTCAAGTTATTTATTGTGCATTGCTATTGAAAAACAGGAAGATTTATTTATGAATAATCAGAGAGAGGATGAACCAATCAATAATATTTTAAAAGTCATTGTAAACAAGGGATACAATGTGATCCCTTCTCTTTTTAAAAGTATTTTATGTGTGGAATAATCTAGAGTGCATGGCAAAATGTTTACTCAATCTGAATTCCCATTTCATACCATTTTGTACTTATTATAAATATTCCTCTTATGACAAGCTTCAACCATGTATTGACGGGGCAAGGAGGAAATGAGAAAAAAAAAATTGAAATGCCCTTTAATTCATTCTGGATAAATTGCCACTTCCTGATGTTCTTCAGTGGGCCCCATGTACATCGCATTACAGTAGTCCATTTGGGAGATGGTCAATACATGAATGACCATGGGAAGTGACCCTCAGTCCAGGAAGGGGCTCAACTGATGCACAAAGCAAAGCTGTTCAACCTCCCTCCCCCCAGTGACCACTGCCACCTGCTCCTCAATAGGAGCCATGAGTTCAGGAGAACCCCAAGATTGCACACTGGTTCTGCCTGGGTAGTGCAGTTCCATCCAGAACAAATTATACAACATCACCAGAAACAGGGTGGCCTAAAACTCAAAGCCACTAAGTGTTGACAGATTTTAGCTGCTGCCTGATCCTCCTCATCCAGGCTCCCACAGCTTCCAGAACCAGGACAGAACCTTCATGTTATCACTTGGCCAGGCCAGAGAGGAGATGTACAACTAAGTATCATTAGCATACTGATGATACCATACCCTGTGCCATTGGATAAACTCACTCAGTGGCTTCATGTAGAAATTAAGTAGGAGTAGGGAGAATGTCAAGCCTTGTAGCACCCCTCACAGCAAGGGCTGCAGGTTGGACCTCTCCCTTCCCATCAACACTGACTGGA